CAGAGATTCTTTTGGCCGGGTTTACATGCAGATGTAAAGGAATATTGTGAGTCATCCCCCGAGTGTCAGTATTCGGCCCCATCACCCCATTTTCGTAGTCTGCTGGTACCTTTTGCCAATTATTGAGGTACCCTTTGAAAGAATTGGCATGGATCTGGAGGGTCCAGTGGTTAAGTCTGCCCGAGGGCACCAGCATATACTAGTAATACTGGACTATGCTACGCGGTACCCTGAAGCCATCCCCTTACGCAATACCTCAGCTAAAACTATTGCCAAGGAGCTTGTTCAGGTATTTAGTCGAGTGGGTATTGCAAGGGAACTTTTAACGGATCAGGGGACGCCATTTATGTCTAGAGTGACTAGGGAGTTATGTAGGCTGTTCAAAATCTCAGACTTGCGCACGTCTGTCTACCACTCCCAAACTGATGGACTGGTGGAGAGATTTAATAAGACGCTCAAGAGCATGTTAAAAAAGGTGGTGGACAAAGATGGGAAGAATTGGGATTTCTTATTGCCATATCTCATGTTTGCTATCCGGGCGGTACCTCAGGCATCCACAGGATACTCCCCATTTGAACTATTGTATGGCAGGCATCCCAGGGGCCTTCTAGATATTGCCAAGGAAATATGGGATGGTGAGACCACCCCCTATAGGAGTGTCATCGAGCATATCTCGATGATGCTGGACAGAATTGCGGCTGTCATGCCCCTGGTACGGGAACATATGGAGCAAGCCCAGAAAGCACATAGAAGGGTTTATAATCGGGACGCCAAAGTACGTAGCTTTAACCCCGGGGATAGAGTCCTAGTGCTAGTCCCAACCGTTGAGAGTAAATTCCTGGCACAGTGGCAAGGCCCCTATGAAGTAATTGAAAGAATAGGCAAAGTAAACTATAAAGTTCACCAGCCAGGGAGAAGGAAACCCGAGCAAATTTATCATGTCAACCTCTTAAAGCCCTGGAGGGACAGAGAAGCCCTGGTGGCTATCCTAACCCCTTGAAAAGATAGAGGCCCCTCCACACCTGCGGTCCCAATAGCTGAAACCTTATCGGTGGCTCAACATAATGAGGTAAAAGAGTTTCTGAGAAGAAGTACAGATTTTTTTTCTCTGAAATGCCTGAATTGACCACAGTCATACAGCATGACATAATTACTGAACCCGATGTTCATGTAAATATAAAGCCTTATAGAATACCCAAAGCTAAACGAGAAGCGGTCGTGGAAGAAATAAAGAAAATGTTAGAATTGGTGGTGATCGAAGAGTCCTATAGTGATTGGTCAAGTCCAATCGTGCTGGTTCCAAAACCAGATGGAAGCATGAAGTTTTGCAATGACTTTAGAAAGTAAAATAATGTGTCCAAATTTGATGCTTACCAGATGCCTCAGGGGGATGAGCTCATTGACAGACTGGGAACTGCCTGATATATAACCACGTTAGATCTGACTAAGGGATACTGGCAAATACCCCTGACTGACAGTGCAAAAGAAAAGACCGCATTCTCTACCCCCGAGGGGTCTTTCCTGTATAAGAGGATGCCGTTTGGTTTGCATGGTGCCCATGCCTCATTCCAACGAATGATGGATAGAATACTGCGATCTCATCAACAATACGCAGCGGCTTATTTGGACGATGTAGTGGTACACAGCCCCGACTGGCAGTCTCATTTGGTAAGTGTGCAAGCGCTAGTCGACTCTTAAGAAGGCTGGACTCACAGCCAACCCAAAAAAGTGTGCCATGGGTTTGGAGGAGACAAAATATTTGGGTTATAGCATTGGTCGGGGTTTGGCTAAGCCTCAAATCAATAAGATTGAGGCGATTCAAAAGTGGCCCCAACCTATAAATAAAAACAAGTGAGCATTTCTTGGGATCACGGGCTACTATCGGCGCTTCATCCCCAATTTTGCCACCATTGTGGTTCCACTGACTGATTTGTAGACATGTGCGATTCGTTTCGTTACAAATCGAAATTCGTAGGAATTTTCCTGAAATTCGTAGATTCGGAAGCATCCGAAATCCGAATTGCAGTTTCCGAATTATTATATCTGAAATACAAAATTCCGTTAACGAACTTCGGATCCGAATTTCTTTGAAACAGGAACTAATATTACCCCTGTAAATGAGGAACAACATGACAAGATTTTTTTTTAATCCGAAATACGGATCCGCTGCTGCTGAGAGTTGCATTACAATACACAGGCAGGAAATACTAAATTCCGTTGACGGAATTTCGTTCCGTTACGAACATTCGTTATATTGAAGGTAAAAAGCAAAGTGATTGAGGCGATTCAAAAGTGGCCCCAACCTATAAATAAAAACAAGTGAGCATTTCTTGGGATCACGGGCTACTATCGGCGCTTCATCCCCAATTTTGCCACCATTGTGGTTCCACTGACTGATTTGTAGACATGTGCGATTCGTTTCGTTACAAATCGAAATTCGTAGGAATTTTCCTGAAATTCGTAGATTCGGAAGCATCCGAAATCCGAATTGCAGTTTCCGAATTATTATATCTGAAATACAAAATTCCGTTAACGAACTTCGGATCCGAATTTCTTTGAAACAGGAACTAATATTACCCCTGTAAATGAGGAACAACATGACAAGATTTTTTTTTAATCCGAAATACGGATCCGCTGCTGCTGAGAGTTGCATTACAATACACAGGCAGGAAATACTAAATTCCGTTGACGGAATTTCGTTCCGTTACGAACATTCGTTATATTGAAGGTAAAAAGCAAAGTACATTTATATTGGAGTTGATGGTAGTTTTTTTTATCTGAATTACGCAATTTGGATCCGGAATCGGATTAACGGAATTCGTATTTCGGATAGAAAAACAACTACCACATCGACTCCAATAAAAACAAAGGTATTTTTGCTTTTTAACTTCATCATAACGAATGTGCGTACAGTTACGAAAATATGCCGAAACTAACGAAAATCCGTATTTCGTACGAATTGAGTTTCGGACACGAATGACAAAATAAGAAATAACGGATATTCCGAAACGGAAGGAACAAGGAACGGCGCACAAGTCTACTGATTTGACGAAGGGTAGAAGTTCAGTCATGATTATGTGGAATTCTGAGGCGGATGAGGCATTTAAGAGGTTGAAGCAAGCTTTGTGTGCTCAACCAGTGCTTGTGACCCCAGATTTCACGAAAGACTTTGTAGTACAGACAGATGCCTCCAATGTGGGTCGGGCGCTGTACTGTCCCAAATCAGAGAGTGGGAGGAGCACCCTATGGTCTATCTCAGCAGGAAGCTTAACAAACATGAGAGAAATGATGCCATTGTTGAGAAAGAATGTTTGGCTATCAAATGGGCTTTGGACGCCCTCAGGTATTACCTGTTGGGTAGACAGTTCAAAATGGTCACTGACCATAGCCTTCAAGTGGATGTGTGAAAATAAAGAAAGGAACAGACGGGTTACGAGGTGGTTCTTGGCTTTACAGGCTTTTAAGTTTAAAGTGGAGCACAGAGCGGGGAAGCTTCAGACCAATGCAGATACCCTCTCATGTGTCCATGCCTCCATGACGTGCCTCTCAATGACAGTTGCTCAACCACAGTGGTTTGAGCAGAGGGGGGAATATGTGACATAAGGAGAGGAGACGTCATTGAGGGGCGGTATGTTTCCCGTCGCTTTCTATCCTATGTGCAGGAATAGGGGAAGCCTGACCAGGGTTCTGCTTTGACTTTGGGTCTGGATAGTCCACCTCAGGTTTTTTATCTTATCCTGGATGGGTAATTGCTTAACGATTGCTTATCCAGGTGAGGTAAAAGGAGGAATGCGGAAACAGGATGTTGCTCTGGCCTGGGACTCAGACAGCCTTCTGGGAGAGCTACACGTTGGATGTGTGTGAGTAAAAGGTTGCTGAATAGTGCTTTTGTTTTGTGAGATTGCTGAGATAAGCTCCTCCCCTGGTAGAGACGAAAGCGGCATGTTTAGTCCGAGCCTGGATGTCAAGGATTTGTTTTCTGTTTTATTGCAACCTTTTTAATAAAAACACTGACGGCAAGTCAGACTGAAAATAACTTTTGCTGCCTGGACTACCTTTTTCCCAGGGAAGGTGATCCCCATTTGAGCTGTACCCCCACAGTGTTTATGTCCCGTATAGTCCGTGTGTTAGCTAAAAAGCCCCACTGAATTTGTTTTGTTGTTGTTATATAATGATATAGGGGTGCGGTGTCCTGCTTTCTTTTGGTGGTTCAAAAATATTGTATACAAATTTTAATTGTTAAGTTGTAAGAGTGTTAAAATAAAAACGGCTGCACTGAAGCACTCCGTGGGGCAGCCAGTGGACAGGCCTATGGTGTGTTGGTTGGGGGTGGCAGGGGGCTCAGGCCTAAAGCTGTGTATGGGGCCCCAAAGTTTCTGATGGTAGCTCTGGGTGCAAGCAATAGCAGAACACACACAGATACAAATCTTACATACAATCTGGTGCACTCTGAGGGCTGTGTAGCAGCCAAGCCATTAACACACACTTCTGAGATTCCTCAAGCTATCCTACAAGCTAGAAATACATACATGTATCCATGTACAGTACATGTTCTTTCTGTATAGAAAATATATTAGAAAAATATAATATAACTTTAAATTAGCCAAATGTATACAGTTCTGGTGATTGATTGATTTTATCTATCTGTACAGGTTATTGATGAGCCGGGATTTCGGTGAAGTTGGTCTTCATAAGCACAATTGAGTCATATCGGAGACAAGCCATATACGTGATCTATGTGACTAGAAGGGTTTTCTACAGTTCACTGGAAGATTCACACAGGACACAAGACATATCACACAGGACACAAGACATATCACACAGGACACAGGTCACAAAGGTTTTGGATATTCCGCAGCATTGATCCAACATCAGAGGACAAGAGAAGTAATTTCAGTGATCTAGAAGTCGCAGTGACTTTACAGTGAAGTCAAACCCCTGAACACAAGAGAAGTCATTTCAGAGGCCAATTCTTGTTTGGAATCTGACAAAGTTTTACAATGGAGGCAAAGCTCATCAGACATCAGAAGGTTCACAGTGCAGAGAAGCCACATCCGTGTTCTGAATGTGATAAAGCTTTTACATGTAAGTCACGACTTATTTTACACGAGAGGGTTCACACCGGAGAGAAGCCATATCAGTGTTCTGAATGTGGGAAAGCTTTTACCCGTAAGTCACAACTTGTTTCACACGAGAGTGATCACACCGGAGAGAAGCCGTATCAGTGTTCTGAATGTGGGAAAGCTTTTACACGTAAGTCACAACTTATTTCACACGAGAGGGATCACACTGGAGAGAAGCCGTATCAATGTTCTGAATGTGATAAATGTTTTTTATGGAATAAAGAACTTATTTCACACGAGAGGGTTCACACTGGAGAGAGGCCGTATCAGTGTTCTGAATGTGACAAAGCTTTCAAAATAAAATCACATCTTAATAGACACCAGAAGATTCACACTGGAGAGAAGGCATATGCATGTTCTGAATGTGGCAAAGCTTTCAGAGACAAGACAATTCTGATCAGACACCACAGGATTCACACTGGAGAGAAGCCATATCAGTGTTCTGAATGCGGGAAAGCTTTTAGAGACAAGACAATTTTAATCGCACACCAGAGGGATCACACTGGAGAGAATACATATCAATGTTCTGAATGTGACCAATGTTTTGTATGGAATGCACAACTTATTGCACACCAGAGGATTCACACTGGAGAGAAGTCATATCCGTGTTCTGAATGTGACAAATGTTTTGTATGGAGAACACAACTTATGAGACACCAGAGGGATCACACTGGAGAGAGGCCATATCAGTGTTCTAAATGTGATAAAACTTTTAAAACAAAAACACATCTTAATAGACACCAGATGATTCACACTGGAGAGAAGCCCTATCAGTGTTCTGAATGTGACAAAGCTTTTAGAGAGAAGTCAATACTAATTGCACACCAAAGGATTCACACTGGAGAGAAGCCATATCAGTGTTCTGAATGTGACCAATGTTTTGTATTGAGAACACAACTTATTGCACACAAGAGGGTTCATACTGGAGAGAGGCCATATCAGTGTTCTGAATGTGGCAAAGCTTTTAAAACACAAGCACAGCTTATTGGACACCAGAGGTTTTGCACTGAAGAGAGGCCATATGAATGTTCTGAATGTGGCAAAGCTTTTAAAAGAAAAACGCATCTTATGAGACACCAGAGGACTCACACTGGAGAGAAGTCATATTAGTGTTCTGAATGTAACAAAGCTTTTAGATTGAAGTTACAACTAAGCAGACGGTTCCCACGGGAGAGAAGCCATTTCAATGTTCTGATTTTTGACAAAGCTTTTAAAATGAGCTCAAAGCTTATCAGACACCAGAGGATTCACAATTCAACTTCAATTTTAGAGTAGTGATGGGCCGAACACTCCCGAGGTCGGTTCGTATTCGAACGGCCAAAACGTTTCAAATACAAACCCGAACTCAATGCAAGTTAATAGGGCTCGAACATTCGGAAACGATTGTTCCCTTTAAGAGGGCTTATATGCAAGTTATTGGCCATAAAAGGTATATGGGGCTTCAGGTACTGCCCTAGGGGACATGTATGGGGTTCCGGGTACTGCCCTGGGGGACATGTATGGGGTTCCAGGTACTGCACTGCTATAATGGACCAGTATGAGTGACTGTAGCCTTATATAGTGTACTGCTGCGACTTAGCTCTGAGCCATGATTGGGCAGTCTTACATCACTTCCTGTTCATTCATGAATGTCTCAATGGGGAGAAGCACTCACTACAGAGGCTCCTCCCCAATCATAAACTGGTGATAGTCAATATTTTACTATCATCAGTGTCTGAATGAATGGGAGGAGCCTCTGTACTGAGTGCTCTCCATTCATTTAGTGCTGAGGCTGCAGAAAAAGTAATTCAGGACTCTGTGTGTAGACTCCGTGTCCTCAATTCCTTTTTCTATTTCAAAAGGGACATGTTAGGGGTC